CGGACAAAACCCCCCAAAAAACACAAAAACAAAAAAAGGACAAAAAAAACCCCCACCACCCACTCCTCCCCCCTCCAGGGGGCAAGAGCCAGCTGAGGCCTGGCCCCCGGAGGGCATTGTGGTGGGGACGGATGGGACCTTTTTTAGCTTCTTGTAGTTTTAACTTATTGTTAACGTCATTATTTATTCTGCCGCGCGGAGCCGTGTGCGGCGCTGCCCCGGCGCCTTTGCAAGTTAAAAAGGAAACTATTTTTTAATTTGCTGCCAAGGGTCCTGGCCATGTTATTTCGGGACGCGCCTTTGAGGGTGGGGGGGAACGGTTTGGGTCGGGAATATTTGGCAGGGGGGCAGAAGCTGAGGTGTCTGGGTGAATTCCCAGATACCCCAAGCTGGGATCAGGATCCCTCCCCCCCGGCCAGGATCGGGGCCCCATTGTGGTGGATGCTACCCAGATGTCCACAAGGGTGCATGCACATGTGCGTAGGGATTTCAAGACCTCCCTCCGCTGTGCAAGGAGTGTGATCCCCTGGGCCACAATCAGGGCCCTGTCACACCAGCCACTGCTCAGACCCCCTTAATTGGAGGGAGTGCCAATGGGGGAAATGTATGGGGGGCTAAGCAGGGGGAGAAGATGCCCCCCAGGTTGGGAGTGAAACGTGTGGGGGGAGGGGGGCTGGGAGGCCCTCAGGGTGAAGGCCTGTGTGTGCAAACATAGAGGGATGGGCTTGTGGATGTGTGTGTAAGGACTGCCTGTGTGGGGACTGTCTGGGATACAGCCCTACCCCCACATTGCGAGCTGGGGGTTCCAGCTGGGGGATGGTGCTGAGCTAGGGAGGGTTGGATTAGGGCAGGCCGAGGCCACCCCTCCCCCAGAGGCAGGAGGGAGCCAGGAAACCACACCTCCCAAGGGGCTACACTTTGTCATGGAAATAAGAGGGAGCAGGTGAAAGGGTTCAACAAAGGGGATTTCATATGAAATCTATGAAAGGGGATGTGCCCCCCCAGGCAGCTGGCAGCTATGGGGGGGCTACCCCCCCAGCCCTGCCAGTGCCCCTCACTCCCGACCCACAGCCCCACTGCGCACACAAACACATGCATGCACACATACACAGGGCTGTGGAAAGAATGGCTCCTTTATTGGGTGAAACGCTCCCTCCCACCCTCAGCCACCCCACCTGGCTCAGTTGGGAGCAGCAGCTCCTGGGATGAAGGGGAGACCGCTCCCTGCGCTCCTGGGATGAAGGGGAGCCGCCCCCCTGCCCCGCCACACATCAGTGCAGGGGTGCAAAAAGCACTGAGGCAGGTCCTGTCTGTCCATCTGTCCACAGGTCCAGCCAGGTGCTGTGCAGGGTA